AGAGAAACCTTTGCCTCTGAAGCTGGGGGCAAAGGCAGAAAAAACATCACACGGCACTGACAGACCAACAGGTATTCACACAGAGAAGCTAAAATCACAGGTAAGGACACCATTTTTACTTTTGTGTTCCTGTAGCTCATGTAGCTTGTGACAGCCCTTTCAAACTTCCCATTTAAATTTCCATTCAAAATCATGATGCCACCTGTATTTGAATGAAAACAGATTATGAGTAAGTTCAGCTAATTTTTACGGGGAATAATTTGAGGCACAGTCCTGCTTTTATGATTTCAGCTGAAATTATGAACCAAGTCTGGTCCTATGAAAACCCAAAATAACAGTAACATCAATTTATTTTTAAAAAAGCATTAATGAAGAATTAATAAACTAGTTCTTGTCCCTCCTCTAGTACTGGTTTGCTGTGTGACCAAGGCTACATAGATCAGTGTGAGATCACTCAGTACCTCTGTGAGACTCTGCTCCAGTGTTCCCATGTGCAAAAAGGCAGAAAACACTTTGCTACATTTGTCTGCAGTTTGAGATACTAAGATGGAGAGCATTCTATAAGTGAAAACTGTTATTCGTATTTAATTAATTGTTTTACAGCCCAGTTACACAGAAAATATCAATGGGCTAGATTCCTCCTTGATGTAAGTCTACTGTCTTCAGAGAGCATACCTAAAAGGTGTTTATCTCTGTGAATTGTAGAAGCTAAGGTGATTTTATAAATGGTCCAATACAAGCAAATATACAAATCAAAGGTAAAACAAACACTTCCCCAACCCTCTCCTCCCACCCTTATACATGTTTGCTTAACGTCTAAGGACACAATTAAAACATCAGAATGTTGAGGTTACGGATCTCATTGCAAACTTCTTCAAGGACAGGCTGTACGGCTATTGATTCTTAACACCAAAAAATATCAGGTGGTATATTAGGCAGTACCTAAATAAATTGGCCTGAATTTTGGAAGGTCATATTTGAACATATTTTTACCCCAGAAACCACAAGTGGAGTTGTAGATGCTCAGCGTGTCTGAAAATTAATCCACAGACCACTTATTTATATATCTAAATGTGAATCTAGATGCCTAACTGACCTAATATTTCATGTACCTATAAAGGTGTGTGTGTGTGTGTGTGTGTGTGTGTGTGTAGGGTTTCCTATGTCATACATCACAAAAGCATTGAATGTAAGGAGAGTTCTCCTCTGACTATTCTTCCATTCCACATTCCCAAACTGGTCTATGGATTATTTTGTTTTGGTCTTCAACCACATATGGGAAGAACTCACACCTCTTTCTTTCAGAAAAATAATTCTTTCTTTATGTCTCTTTTTTCTACATCATAGGTCTTCCAAAGTATTTATTTTCAAAGGCCTTTCCAGATTTGTCTTCTCAGAATTAACAATTGTTGATGTACTTGAATGAAATGAATGTTATTTATTTATTTCTATTTGCTTTTGCTGACACAGAATATTTTGCAAAATTTAAGTATGTTTAAATCTTTTCCCCTGACATACTGTGTTTGTTTTTCCTTCTTTGATATCATGCCTTTCTGATAATGGAAGTTATCTTTTAGTTTCAAAAACATTTTTGGTCATTCTGTATATTCCATGAATCCCAATTTTGTTTGATGTAATTAATTCAGTTACAATGTAGTACCTGACATATGTTTGTTTCTTAGGCAAACGTGTAAAACTCTGCAAGTCCGAATGGAGAAGTAGAAAAAAGAGGTTTCTGCTGTGCCTGATGACAATTTTTGATTTTTCCACATACACAAAATATTCTGGCTCCATGCTGGAGCACTAGTTGTGATGAATCCTAGGCTTGGTCGGATTCTAAGGAAGGGCCAGAAGGTTCGTTGAGGAATAAAGAGTCAAAACCACTCCAGAAATGTGTTCCAGCCCTGGTTTATTACTCTCACAGCAGCAGGTGTGTACAAATACAGGTTTCCACAGTCTTAACCGGATTTGCTGTACCTTACACTATATTGTGGTTACATACAGTGCTCCACATTCCCATGGTCCTTGGGTTACTGTTAGGAAGACTAATTGGGTGTATCTTCAGGAAAGATGATCTGCTCTTCTGCTAAACAGCATAGAGGTATCAACCAACTGCCTTCTAGGGTCTTTCCTCCACCTTTAATGATCTTTCCTCACTCATTCTGCTCTCAGAGGTAGTGCAAACTCCTTGAACTTGAATTGGGCAACAATATACCAATATTTTACTGGAAGGGCCCTGGGACCCTTTGGATATGAGAGCAGTATGAGAAGCTACATAGAGCAGAATAGAAGAATGAAAATGGCACTCTGAAGACATAAAATGCCTGATAGGAAGTAGCTCTTCATTCTGCACTGGATCACTCAGAACTCCAGAAAAATTGTAGGGGCTTTTCCTGTATTTGTAAAGACTAGTAGAGGCTGAATACTTTTGTTTAAAAACAGCATTTTAGATAAAATACTGTGCAGCCCAGTGCAGTTTCCTGAAACATATGCAGTGCTCTAAAATGAATAGCAACTTGACTGTTGTCTAAGCTTTAGCAACGGCTTAGCAAATACTATGACTGAGTGGCAAAGTTCAGGGTAGGTGTCAAACTTTCCCAAAATTCTGACGCTTTTTTTATCTGAGGTTTTGATCTGAATCAAGTTTTTAAATTAAGAGTCCAATTCTGCATTCTTTGCGCATCACTTTTCCAATTGAAGCACTAGTGTGCACTCAGTCTAGAATACAACCATTTGCTTGCTTCCTAATGGAAGGCCCTAAAGAATGGAATTTGTACAAATCTAGTCCCTGACCAATCGCAACTAGAAATAATTTATTAAATTCAGGAAAAGATTTGATGTTTGGTGTCTTCAAAGACACTGGAAACTTTAGAGCCACTTGGATTTACTGGGAAATGTTATTTCTTATATGAAATAAGCTTTATCTACTAGTTCAAGCTTAGAACAGAACAGCAGGAGACCTAGATTTCTCTCTTACTGACTTACAGTGGGACTCTTAGGAAACTGCTTAGAACAAAATTTTCAAATTTAGTTAGCTAAAATTTTGAAAAGTGACTATGTGAGCTAGTCACCAAGGAGCCTAAGTCTCATTAACAGTTAATTAGCCCGTGTTTACTGCAAGTATCTGAGTAAGTAGCATGATTTTCAGAGGTGCTGAGCATGTGTAAATGTAACTGCAGTCACTCAAGTTTGAACATTTTAGTCTCTGTGATTTTTCCAAACTATATATCATGTCTGTAGGGGTATGTCTACACTGCCACCCTAGTTCGAACTAGGGTAGCTAACATAGGCATTCGAACTTGCAAATGAATCCTGGGATTTAAATATCCCGGGCTTCATTTGCATGTTCCCGGGTGCCACCATTTTTAAATGCCCGTAGTTCCAACTACCTGCCCGCGGCTACACGCGGCACGGACAGGTAGTTCAAATTAAAGCTCCTAATTCAAACTGCTGTTAAACCTCCTTGCAGGAGGAATAATGGTAGTTCGAATTAGGAGCTTTAATTCGAACTACCTAGTCCGTGCCACGTGTAGCCGCGGGCAGGTAGTTCGAACTACGGGCATTTAAAAATGGTGGCGCCCGGGAACATGCAAATGAAGCCCGGGATATTTAAATCCCAGGCTTCATTTGCAAGTTCAAATGCCTACATTAGCTACCTTAGTTCGAACTAGGGTGGCAGTGTAGACATACCCTAGCAGACCAGGACAACAGCCTTGGTCACCTGAATCTCAGCTCTGTCCTTTAACTAGTAGATGAGGCGTACGCTAGGAAAGTTTTAGTTGAATGGTGTTAAAGTTTTCAGAGCCTTTGAAACACTTTCCTGAGTTCCCAGGGACTTGGTTGCCCACAGTTGGACAAATGTAAATCTATATATACCTACTGTATAGTATATCTCGACTTATGTGCTTAATTGTAGACACTCACATGTGAAAAATTTTGTCCTTAACATCTCTGCATTCCACTTTCTCCACTTCTAAAAAGGGAACAATTAAATATTTATCTCACATGAGTGTAATGAGGTTTAGTTAATTAACATTTATAAAAAACCTTATGATTCTCAGATGCAAGGCATTATAGTACTGCATAGTAGTAGAATTATATCAGTGAATGCCTTCCAATCTCCTAAACTGATCTTTTTCAGAGTGGATGAACATGCACAAGTGGCAGTACAAACTGTCATCTGCTTTCATGAATTGCATATGAATGATAATTTATGGCAAGCACACTGTATGGATTTCAAAGTTCCAAGAAGTAGTGTATGTCCATCTGCTCAAAAGATTTGTTTCTAGCCTAAATCTTCATTTGCATAGTACAGGAAACTAAAAACCATTGACAGACATTTCTGGTTGTGCAGACCCACAGTGATTCTGAATTCTAATGCTACTATTAAGCTCTGAAAAGAAAAAAGTGGTTCTTCCCCTATAAATGTGTAAGTCGGTTGGGTTTATTCCCTATTAGGAAAAGTGCACAAATGAATTGTTTTTATGAGCCTCCATGTTTTGGGGAAATGTTAATGCCTTGCTATGAATGTATGAACAAGAATTCAGTAGAGAAATGGAAGGAAGTTTACTGTGTTCACATAACAGAGGTCCTCTTTGTTGCAAGATTACAGAACTCTGCCTTCATTCCTAACTATTACAAATATATTGGAAGGAGACGGTATAATAGGCAAGCACATATAAATGATATCATATGAAAACATAGGATAGCTTAGACTATATTTTTTATCTACATGCCTTGGTGAATCACATGAAACTTAGGGTACATAGCCAGGAATTTCTGTAAAATGTCTCTTCCTTTATTTACTAGAAAGAGAAACTGGCAGCAATTCTTATACTTAGATTGCCTAATGTTGCATTATAAAAGATTCTTGCAAGCCTTTTCTTTTAAGAAGTATTCATGGTTTCATGGTTTGTAACAGGCCTTAGAGATTCCTCCTATCAGAATATGAGGCAAGTGCCATTTCTTTGTCTTATGAAATTCCATTTATATTAGGTTTTAAAACATTAAAGTATTAAAATTATTATATGAGGGTATGTCTACACTACAAAGTTAATTCGAACTAACAGACATTAGTTCGAATTAACTTTCATAGGCGCTACACTAGCGCTCCTCTAGTTCGAACTTAATTCGAACTAGCGGAGCGCTTAGTTCGAACTAGGTAAACCTCATTGCACAAGGACTAAGCCTAGTTCAAACTTACTAGTTCGAATTAAGGGCTGTGTAGCCCCTTAATTCAAACTAGTGGGAGGCTAACCCTCCCCAGCTTTCCCTGGTGGCCACTCTGGGCACCACCAGGGAAACTCTTCTGTCCCCTCCCAGCCCCGGAGCCCTTAAAGGGGCACGGGCTGGCTACGGTGCCCGTGCCAGGTGCAAGCCTGCCAGCACCCAGCCAGCAGACCCTGCACCTGGCACACCATGAGCCAGCCACCCGATACCCCCCAGCCCTCCGCCTCGTCCCGGGACCAGGCTGGCAGGCCTTGGGAGGCCGGTCA